GCCAGCATTTTAGGAAATATGTATATGTAAACCAACTCCTGTTCTGAAAATAAAAGGTTTCAACTTATTACAAGATTCCCGTACGTAGAACGGGCAAACAGCTAGTTCTTTAGTAAGAATTGTATTGACTCGACCTTTGAAGGGCTGTAGGTCATAGCCCTTAGAAAAAACGTAAATTCTAAGGAAGTTCGACAAATCTACACACTATCCCCTTTAATTTGAGACATAAATCTTCTAGATCGGTCCAGTAATGACTGAGAAAACAGACTTACAACTGTGTATTAAATATATAGATTATAATGCAACAAACCGTTTTTGAAAACTTGTTCTATTCCAAAGTTATGAGGGCTTTTTATAACTTTATTTTTAGCCATTTTACCATTGTGCATTTACAAACTAAGACCATAATCTGAAAATAGTGCTAGATAAAGAAAGGTATACACCACCAGTCATTGTCGACCTATTTTCACTTAGTTATGACGGATGTAATTTTTGAGGCCACTATCTTGGATCCGCCATTTTGAAATGTGATAAATTATTTAACATATGAAAGGGGTGTTGTGGCCCATCATTTCGAATTACTTTTTTAAGCTGAACTCAATTCCACGATCCGTTTTTCATTTTCATATTTTGATTTTGAAATATTGACATTAAAATATATATATATATATATATATATATATATATATTTTAATATTTCATAAAGAAAACTGACGAATAAACGATATTTTTTACAATTCAAACTAATGGAATGACTTATTGTGAGCTATAGCAACTTTGATGACCCATCAACTTGGCCAGCAACAAAAAATAAGGTCAAAAATAGTTCTAGTCACTAGCGCATTCTGTGACTGGTCACACAACTACTTTATTTTTTTACAAAAAAATGCTACAGCGGGTCCATATAGATGGGATGTCTACTTTAGTATCCAATAGTCAATGGCCATACACTGTTTGAATCATCAGAAAGGTTCCCTTAATGGACCAAGACTTGATATATTCAGAGTAGATAGGATGACAGGGCCTGAATAGAGTGATTCACACAAATGATATTGTGACATATCATATCATTGGTGAAGTGAAAGTCAGTATGTGTGGGGGATTCATACAAATTTAAATGGTGTCAAAACGACTTTGGCATATGATTCGTCATACAAAAATAACGAAAAAGGTTTGTATGTAAGTATATCCGAAAATGCCTATTTACCTAGGTAGCCACCATTTTGTTTGTTTTTTATACATAAAACTTTATATCTTTGAATTTTTCCAGCTGAACTTTGAAAACTTGGTATTTATTTTTAAGTAGAGCAGACCTACGTTTGAAAGAAGTTAAGTTGGTGGATTTGAAATTTTAAAATAAATAATTATATGATAGGTTACGTACCTTTTAGTTCGTCTTCAGTCCTTATTATAGTCTAGGGTGACTAGTTTCGGTTAAAAAATTACCCATTTTCAAACCCATATCATCAAATTGGTTGGTACATAAATCCCACTGAAGTTCGTTATAACTCATGAATATACGTCAACACATAAAGTTCACACATTTATACTAAATAATGGCCAATAATATAAAAATAGGAAAATTTGCCAAGAGGACAATTTTAATTTGCATTAAAATTTCATTAAAAAATCTAATAACTAATAACTGATAGCTGAAATGTAACTTTTTAGTTGTAAAATGATGCCACGCTACTTAAGGTGAACCACGTTGCCATATTTTACAACTTAAAAATGTTCTTGACATTTATTTATGAATTCAGCTATCTCTTATTATAAGTTATACAAATTAAAACAGTAGCAAAATACAAATTTATAATTGGACCATGTTAATTAATATTATAATGCATATCTCTACATTTTACAAATACATACCAGTTTAATTTAAATTGGTAGGATAAATTCAATAATAAAAAAATAATGAATAAAAACAAAACTACCTGCGGATTGAGTAAACTTGCAATTTCGGACATACCTTTACACATATGAAGTTTTTCTTCCTTTTGCATGACAAATCATATATCAAAGTATATAAAGTATATAATGTCCGAAACATGTCACTTCTTTTTTATAAAATATAATATTCAGGGTGCTCAGTTGTACTTATTTACTTAAATATTTAAAGTATATAAGTATATAAAGTATGTTTTTATATCCTGTATACTTGGATATAAAAATATACGACAGATGCTGAATGATGCTGACTTATGCTACATTGAAGGAGATGTAATTAATATATCAAAGCCTTACAAAGTATTTTTTACATCCTGTATACTTGGGTAGAAAAATATACGACGGGTGCTAAAAGATGCTGACTTACGCTATACTGAAGGTCATGTAATTAATGTTTCATACACTCTCGTATAAAATAAGAATCGGGGTGTCTAGACAACCAAAGTATTTTAATTTAAGTTTAACACAAGATAGTGGAAGGTGAATAGATTGTTGTTGAGGACGAGAATTCCATTTCGCCAGGTAAAAAGTAGTAAACAATTCAATACATGTTACTTTGTTTTTTATTATTAACTAGCGTATACCATAGTTCTTTGGTAACTTAAATATATATTTTATGGCAAGACACAGTAGGTAAATTATGTCTAAAACTTAAAAATATTTTTTACGTTATCAAAAGCATACAAAATATTAAAATTTTCAATCATGTAACTATGTCATAAACTCTTCACAATAAACATAGAACATTTTTTAAGTAATACATAGGTTAATTATGACCTATCAATAAAATTGGATTAAGTGTTATTTTATATTATAATTTCCTTTTTACAATCTCACTCACCATTATAACGACACACTTTTCATAATAAATATAAAAGAAAATATAGTTAGAGTTTTCCTTATCATACAACTATTTTACAATAATTATGGCTTTAATGTTGAATTTGATTCTACATTCAGCAGTAAACTATCCGTAAAATATACATTCTAATTTTTGCTCACTAACATCTAGCCTAAGCACTGTAATTCAATGTATAGGATTGATATAGGATTTCAAAAAAAAATTAAGAATATTGCAATATACTTGTAATACACAATTAATTGTATATAGAAGTGATGAGCTCTTAAAAAAATAATTGTAACAAAATATCACATTTATTTGTGAATTCAGGGGAGATTGACAATCTTTCTAAAAACAAAGCTTCGTCCTTAAAATAATAAAGTAATTTTAAAGCATTAATTAAATTTTCTAGTCTGCGTAAAATCATTGCATATACGAGTAGATCAAGTCTATTGAGATCTATCCCAAAGATCAGCTTATGATCCAGTGGAAATGAATCTAAAATAGTTTCATTTAAACCGGATAGAAAATTACAAATATTGAATTATGACCTCTAATTGCGAATACAGTAGAAATAAAAACATGTAATCAAGCTCTTTTGAATATTTGTAACCATGTTAAATATTTTATTCAAAATCAAGTGATTTTCTACAACCTGTTAGTGTGTAAATAACTTAGTTTATAGTGATTATATTTTTTGGTAATGTACTTATATACGTACACATTTTTTATCCAGTATAAAAATAATTTAAATTTAGTACTGTAAAATATCTACAGAGTGTGAAATTCATTCACTAAGAATTTTTATTTTATAATGGTCCCATGTATAATTTTATTGAACCTTACATGCTTTTAAAACTCTTTTAAATATATCATAATCATATAAATTATTTAATCAATATTGCATAATGGTATACTATATTGTTACAGTTATTATTGTATTCTATATAATAATGTCATAAACATCTAAGTTTCTGCAAAAGCGAGTTATAAACTATGTCATAAATTCACAACCATTTGTATAACAAAATTACATTCGATTATCTCTATTATAAAAACTTAACCTTTTCTAAGACTACTTGTTTCATTACGTATATAAAATATGTCTATAATAATTAGTTATATACACAACTTGCTTCTTTCTTAAACATAAACCATTGAATCTTAAGCTTTATTAAAATATAGTTTAATACTTGGTATATGTTTAATATAAAACTGTCCTTCTTAAATGTTTTACGTTATTTTTTAAATTAAATTCCATAGACCACTTATACAACCCCTACAACACTTTTTGGTCAATCTATTTTATGATAGATTGTAAAACTTAAATATATAATATAAATATCACTTAAATAGATCAAAATCGATCATGTATCTGAGTAATTATAAAGCAAAACTTAGTTTTTCCTACAAATATTCACCAATAAATAGCTTCCTAAAATAACGACGCATCCCACCAAAATTATGATTGGATTTTCAATCAGCAACATCGCCTATATTCTTGAAACAATGATGGATCGAATTAAGTACAAAGATAAAAATAAATCGCATATTACTATTTTGGATGTGTGGGGATTCCAATAAGCTGCCCTATCTAAAGTTCATAAGTAATGTATTTTAATGATGCGACTTTTCTTAACTATGGAGTTTTAGAAAGCTGCAAGCTAAACCTGTTTTGAAATAAATGTCACAACCATATTGTAGTATGTACTACTATATGTTATATCATATACCCTAATATTTTTTTCTAGCATAAAGAACATTAGGTTGAAACTAGGTTGTTTCTCACGATTTGTTATAAGTAACTTTTTCATTATTTTAAAATATATTTCGAATGTTTTGGTTAAAACTGCATAATGCGCTTCTGGATTTGAAAGAACTCCTACAGTTTTCAAGTATTATACGTTGTAATTAGCTGTTTTCAATAAGCAGTTTTTGACTCGCCTACCTTTCGAGGGCTAATTAAGATTAATGTAATAATTAGGAATTATGTTGTGTTAATTGTTTGATTTTGTTTGTGTTTCTTGCCTTGAAACTACGCAGTTTCTGCTTTTGATGAACTCCTACTGTTTTCAAGTAAAATTCCTAGTTACTATTTTAATCTTAATTAACCCTAAAAAGGTGTACAAGTAAACATTTGATTGAAAACAAATATTTACAACATTTAATACTTGTAAACGATAGGTCTTGTTGCAACCTAGTTATTTTGAATCCTCAAATTGATACAAATACTTTTCTAGTCTTATCATTACTTTAACATTATTGGTTTTCACACCGCAACATCAGTTCTTAGTGGGATTCTCTCACTCCTACTCAAGTAGGCGTACCAATAGCTAAGATTGATGGCGAAGAAACAGACTGGGAAAAACACGCGGGAAATTCGGTCTATTTTGGAGACAGAATTAAACCTCGGCGTGCGCTTCTTGCGACGATGACCTCGAGGGTGGAAAGTGATGGAGGGCCGCTTGGGCGGGGGGTTGTAGACTGACTCTCTGCACGGGGAGTGGTGAGTACTGCTGGGCTTGGCGCAGCCTGCGAGGCAGAAGAAAGTGGTAAAGTTAGAGAATTAATAATTCTGTAACCCCAGATTATGCCTATGATTGTTTCAATTTTCTCCAGTTACATGGGTCTCAATGGTTGTGTGGACGAATAGGAGGCAGAACTAAACTGAGACATGTACCTAGCACATCGCTTGGTGTCATGGTCCATTTGTGCTGCCAAATAAATCGCCGACTCACTAATATTCTGGGTGCAATAGATTATTCAACTGCGACCGTTTTTTAAACTAACCCTTGCGTTGTAAAAACCACTATTAATACATGGTTTAGGGTGCAAGTGCATACACTTTCCTTTACATCTAACTCATTCATTCACTCTGATAAGCTTTAAACTACGATTAACCCACAGAATAAATCTTAGTAAATTAAAAAAGATTTCAACTTTACTAGCTAAAAATTACTTTAAAACTCAAAGTCCATGCCTATTATTTTCTCTGTCTAGAGGTGATGATTGATCATTAGAAAACCTCTAGCTTCAGACGTCAGTCGGAGTTTTCACCAGCATTTGATAACGCTTCTGGCATAATCTATAAGCTACTTAAACAAATGAACATGCAATAATTGTAGTTCGTTTTCACACCTAAGCAGGATGGAAGTCCACTGGTCCAAGAATCTCTGTGTCCTCGGCCACTGATTGAAGATATGTCACACGCAGAGAGTGGGATTACCTGAAGCAAATTGAACATTCCACGATTAAATTGACGATTAAATTTTCTTTTAGCTTGATATTTATTGGAATATATGGTAGTTGATCAACATAGCTAGGTATGGGTGTGAGTGCATGCAATCTAGCGAATAAGATTGCTTTCTCTAAAAGATTTACTATGCGATATACCTAGTTCTGTTAAAATGAAAAATACTTTGCAAATAACACTTATATTAATTGTTGTTTGCACACAGTTATTTTGAAGCTCATAAACATGTTTATTTTATCTTTAGTCCTTAATTTAAACTTAAAGGCCTTTGGATGTTGCCTTTCTATATTGCATGTTTGTAGTTTTTTCATGACTACTCTTGGGCTAGACTTCACAAAATATATTTAATGTTTTGCGGATTACAATTCATAAAAAAATACTGATTAATCACTAACCTCCAGTAGTCTTGTGTTTCCATTTATTGTAACACTGCGTCTAGGTGCAACACCACAAGAGCTGGACTTTCTTCTCCCAGCACCCTCCTAAATATGGATACTTGTTAAAAGATCTTGACTAAGGCTACTAAGAAACTATCCACGAAAGTTGACTAGGTACACATCAGAGTTATTTTAAACTAAAACAATTTTATATGTTTAGACTATACTTAGAAGGAATAATGTTTTAATGAATAAAAGGGCTAGGGACGGTTATTTATAGCACGTCAATATATAATGTGATTACGTGCTCGTACGATAAATATTTAAGGGGTTTTTAAGCTTCGGATTTAAAAAAAAATATGATTGTTCATTTGTTAAGTAAAACATATAACACGTTTTTAGAGGTTTATTTGCCAAACGTAGGTTTACGTTGACAATTCCTGAAATGTTTAAAAACTATTTTATGAAATTAATCCATTTTCTTCTTTTCTTCCACATATAGTATCTACTATTATAATTACAAAGTAAAAATATGAAAAGTCTGTTATCGAATGCAGTAAAAATGGATCAAAGTAGAGCATAAAGATTCCGATACTTCTGTTACCTATATAATATTATACAATAAATGAACACTATCAAACATCAAATAATAAACATAGTTTATGTTTGCACTCCTATTTACACTCATATTGTATTCATGACTTTGTTTAAACATGTACCTAGGTGGCGTAATTATAACAACATCTGTCCATACCATAGGCTCAATAGTTCTTCTGGTCGCCCAATCATCTTCATCACTGGAATCTGATGAACTCCAGTCTACGCTGAAGTAACACTCGCCACTGCCGTACTTGGTGAAGTAGTGCACCAGAGCAAACTGTAAATAGTACACTGCCTTTAGATTAGTAAAATATGTAATTAGTTTCAAAAACTTCAGGAAGAAAGAGAATATTCTCGTTTAGAAAGCCAAGCCAACCAAGATTTCCGACGCAATTTGTCATTGGGCTTATTAGTGATACTATCAAATAAAATATACATTGTTCAATGGTGAATAGTCTATGGTTTTGACCGTTTACTCACAAAAATCATAACAAAATGCCACCGGTGTAGAAAAATGCCGAAGATAAAAACAAAAAACTAATTAAACCCACCAATAGTCAAACTCAAAAATAAAAATAAGAACGACATATTTATCGAATTTGGTCTACTTTCAGTTTTCGACTGTATAACATAGATACAAATTACCATAATTGCAAATGGATGCTGCAAGAATATTTCTAGCCCTATTAGAAATCTAGAGCCTGTTTCGTATTTTCACCTGTTATTTTCAATGCCAATATAATGGTACATTGTAAATTTAAATCGTAAATGGTAAATTTGGGTATACTATATAGTCGCTAGTCATATTCAATAGTTAAAACAACTGTTTAACTTGTCGTAATAAATGTAACGTTAGTATAAAAGCAAGACTAAATAGCATACATGTATAAACTGTTTCTTATGTTGTAGAAATAAAGCTATGTGACACATACCTGTATGATTGTAGCAAAGATGAAACCAAAAGAGAGGAATACGAAGAAGTCCAGCGCCGTTGGGTACGGGACTTTGGGAAGATCTGTTCGTGCCTCTAGACCAAGGAACGTCATGGTCAGCACCGTAGTGATACCTGGTCAAGGAGCAATGCGCATTATAGTTCATGTATAGATAAAGAGTATAGGCAGTATAGTTTGTATGATGGATCCTGTCTCCTGGCCCTCCATCTAACTGGGATTGGCCAATGATGTAATGTCTGGGTCAGTCCCGGTTAAACGAGGGGCTGGGAAACAGGTTCCAAGACATATTTCTAAAACATTACTTGCCAAGAGACATAGTACAGAAAACCAATACTCATCGGACTTGTTGTTAATTAATTGCTCACCTAAGGACACTCTGTCAGCTGTAGCTTCTCTATTGAGCCAGAAGGACACCCAGGATAAAACCACCAACAACACACAAGGTCCGTAAACCTGTATTAGGAAGTTACCCATGTGACGTTGAAGGTGAAAACTGACCAGCAGCATTGAATATTCGCCTAGAACATACAAGTTGGTGTGATCAACAAAAGTTTCAGGTAAATTTTGTTCTGACCAATTCGAAATCGAGTTGAGAAAGCTTAGTAGAAGAGAATAGTGGCAAATGAATGATATATTTTATTTACTAGGACGGCTAGGCTCTAGGACTGGATCATTTATCATATTACATAAGGCTATGCTTAGGGGTAGCGACATTATCACTTAGATAAAATCCATTGTTAGTAGGTGGCATTTGAGCCCAGGACCTCAGGGACCGAAGCCACAAGGACAGTTCATTACGTATCGATAATAGGTTTAGTAGGCGTTGCTACTTCTAACATAGCGATTCATAACTGAATTTTAAAGTTATAAAAGTTATATGTGTGAAAGAAAAATATTACTCTAGAGGTTCATAGGGCAGTTGCTGATGATTAAAAACATTAATCCAGGTTATAAATTGTTTCTTTAACTGAATTGAGTGGCAGGATAGTATAAAAGAGACAACAAAAACTCCAGCTCATGATCGAGGTTTTATAATTATTTTTTATAAAGGAACTCATAAATATTATTTCAACACAAACATAAGCGTGGCTGGCTTAGCATTTCCTCATCAATAACCACATACAATTATGATTAACTAATTTCAAATAAAAAACCTTTCCTTAAAGGTGCACAAATCTCATAATGATTTTACACATAGTGCAATACAAAATATAATATAAGATTAATTTCTTGCCAAGAGACATAGTACAGAAAACCAATACTCATTGGACGTATCGTTAATTGCTTAGAATAAATAAATGAACGATGTTAGAAATATTCTTTAACTACGTACACTTAGCCTTTATTACTTGGTAAAACTACGTTCGTGCAATACGTGTTACTCTATATAATCGAAGGGTCTCAAAAAGACTTCTAAGATGAAATTAAAGATAATTGAGCCTTAAAGTTCATTGAGCATAAAAGAAAAAAAAAGATAGAAAAATGTGAAATAAATTACAATAAATAATCTAAAAGTATACTTGCGATGCGGGTACCCGACTTAAGATAGTCTGTCTGGTTGGCAGCAGGGGTGGCGATGAGGTCGAACTGCGACAGTTTCATGTCGTCTGCTATGGCCACCTGTCGCTTGCCGTTCCATACGTACAGAACGTCATTGACAGTGTAGCCAACTGAGGAAAGTATAAAACCATACAGCTTAGAGTATTTTTTTGGATACTGATAAATAAAACAAGTTGAAGAAATAGATTTTTTAGGTTAAATAATTGATAAGCACTTATCCTGGTAAGACCACGTACACATGTCTCCGCAAGGATTAATAGAAGGATGTTTGCACTGAACAATATGTCTCATCTATGTAATAGCCTATCAGTACTTTGAAAACAATATACAATTTTCTTATCCATAGCCACATTTCATACGGTATACCTTTATAAGGAGCTACAACCAAGAAAAATCTTATTCGAATCCTAAAACTGTAGCAAAGGGTAATATTAACAATGATGGGACTAAAGCATGACGACTATGTTAAAATTAATTTTAAAAAAATTAAAATACTAACGGTCTATGCCCAATTCATTTTCGAACTGCTCTCATTGCCAAGGAAAGTATACCGGATGACGCACAATTATGCTATGATACAAGAGGAAAAGCCCAAAGAGAAAATAGTCGCAACCATCTTATCTTTTCCAATAAAAAGCCCACCTGTGCCGGAAAAACTTTCTTGTGTTTTCTTTCTAATAATTTAAAACCATTGGCAGCACCAAATTTAAAAAATAATTACAAAATTATCTTATAGAAATCTCTACTTACTCCATTAAAGAGTTGTTTCAACAATCAGCATAATTGTTTTTTATTTATTTCAATTGTATAAATATTGTAATGTTATCATATAACAACTTAATTCACTCGGCTAAGAATCTTGACAACCAACTATACCGTATACTGTATTAAGTTTGTAATTTTATAAATTCAATGTATATGACTCACAGCTTCCGAACTTCAGAGGACATCTTTGAGTGTCCATCGGAAAGTTTTCAAGATTCATTGGGCAACCGGCCTTTATTGTTAACCTAAAACACAAGCAGATATCTTTCAGGAAATTGAAAGTGACAATACCATTCACTATAATTTATAAAACTACATAAAACACAATAATATACACCTTCATATAAATGCACAGGAATGCAAAGAATATAACATGAGCAGATTGTGTTTGTAACCATTAGGATCCATAAAGGCTAAAAGTCCTTTAACAAATCTCTCTCCGTTTTACTTTAACAAAAAAAAAACCATTCATTGTAAACCTCTTTGTTGCAGGGACAGTAGAGCTACCTTTTTGTAATTTTAACCCTAACGAACCTACGTACGTTCGTTCCTTTCATGTTTCAATCAGTGATGGAGTGATGGCTAGTGTAAAATATGTTCTTATACGTATTTTTGTATGCATTTTTATTTCAATACATAGTTAACAAATTATCGGCGTAAGTAAGTTAAACGAAGGTTTTTAAGTTTGATTTTGAAAATAACTGTGCTTTGTATAGTTTAAATAGTGGATTTTATAAAATATATCGGACAATATTATTATCTTATTTAGAAAACTGCTCGGAGTCATATGATATTAAAAGAATGAAAAGCGTATTTCTATGGACATTAAGCGACTTATCTAGGCTTTAGAGGGTTTAATCCCACTACTTTTCAACCACTTACTTTCCTTTTCTAACAATTCAAATCTTATTTTTGATACCTTATATACTTAATAAAATTACAGAGTAATCGTCACAAGCATCAAGAACTACAAATTCAAATGCATTGTATAGTTAACTTATTATATAGTTTTATTTTTATTATGGAATGAATGTGTTTATCATGAATCAGAGCTGAGGAGTGAATACAAGATCATTCTACTGACAAGTTTCTGACAAGTGATCGATGGACAGTCTGAAGAAGAATATGACACAGAGTCATAAAGAAGATCAGTCACCTGACGAGTCAATTCGTCTAGGAATTCTGATTTATTATACAACGTTTGTCTTCAATCTTTTGTAAAAGAACCCTCAAAAAATCCTTCATTCTCTCAGTGTGGCATTGAATATTTCGTTTTTGTCTTGGCCTAATCCAAACAATACTTTTCTATAAAGAAATCTTTTTAGAGGGTAGGTAGTTTTTATTTTATTTTTATATAGCTTATTGTTTTCCACACTCATAATATACTCTTGCAATAGTATATTTCGTACCAAGGGCCGAAAATGAGGTTTTGCCGGCTCGAGATAGTTTTTAAGTTCGAGACGAAGTCGAGAACTTAAATCGATCGAGAGCTGCTAAACCATTTCGGTCCGTGGTACGAACGCTATTTTTCACCACACTATACCCTATTACCAATTCACCACTATTAATAATAATGCACACTGATAGTCAACACAACTACAACTTTAAGGTTAAGAAATAATTTGAGGAATCAGCAAAAATATAAATAAATAGTTGCTAGGTAACAGTGACAATAACACAATTCTATATTGCAATGCTATGGATTTTGATTGTGTATTTAAAACGCATTCATGTTCTAAGTAAGTAAGCGGACAGCTGATTTTGCGGCCCCGGCCTGTAAAAACCTGCTCGGTCCCCAAATTGGCGACAGCTGGCATGGCCAGCAAAACGTAACTTTCAGCCACCAATTAACGTATGTAATACAGCCAAAAACATCATAGTGTGGTGAAAAACTTGTTTTTGTATTCTATAATTTGAAAAAAAGTATATTATGTTTTTCTGCAAGAAAAATATTTTAAACAGAGTTTCAGGGAAAACCTACATCATTGGGTAAATTAAAGCACAAAATCGACATAATATAATCACTCCCAATATATTTATTTCGAACTCGTATCTTAATCTATGAATTCATTAAGTTGAGATTGGTTAGAAAAGCCAATTCATGCATAGTAAATAACCTTGAGACTATGCGTATCGTTCATATATCGTTTCAGTTGGTCGAGACCACGTTTCTTTATCAATAGGAATATTACAGCTCTGATACTCATAAAGATCTTGCCAATGTTATATATTTTTGTCAGAGGTTCCTGGCATTTTAGAAAGTAGAGGTAGTAACTTACACATTTTTAATTAGCGTATTTAGTTTATTTTGAAGATGAGAGGTAAAATAAATGATTTTAGATTACTTTCAGAGTACCTGAAATATGGTTAATTGGTAGAGACCAACCAATAACCAATAGCCATTGTTGTTTCTGCAAGTACCTTCTACTATGCGAGGTTTACAATAAAAATTTATCATTTTACGAGGAGGACTGACATAACTTAAGTCACTGCAGTTGCTTTTAAAATTGTTGTAAAGTAAATCTCTACAATTGACCCTCTTCTCACCTAGATGAGTACAATACTCTGCCATCCTGGTAGAGGCGTACAAACTTGTTTGGCGTGGTGATAGTGTGGAGGTAGGACTGTTTGCCGTTGTAGAAGTATGTGTCGGGCTTCCATATCCTCTCCAACATCGTGATGCTGAGGGCGAGGGTGTCCTTGTCCGAGAGAAAGGCGAGGCGACGATCTACCCAGGTCTGACGGAAGTAGCAGTCCATCGAGTATGTCTGGAAGTGTAAGTAGGGGGGGGGGGGAAACAAGCCCTTAATACAAATAGCAACAATCTACGAAATAAATATGTAATGGCAAATACTACAGGGTGTTTTTTTTTTTAACTTGCATCTTTATTTATGTAAAAACCGCAATAGATAGAAATATGCAGTTTGCGGGAATCATCTATTGACGTAGGGGGCCCAATTTTTTTGAATTCGACGTTACATTCACATTCCCCCCTTTCCCCCCTGTCCCCAACTTAATTTTTTTTAAATAGCAAATTACCCCTTGTGACATATCAAATGAAAGAGCATGAAAAAAGAAAATTTGTTGTGAAAAAAAATTAAAATGGGCTCATGAATTTGTGAGATAATCACTCCCTTTTCCCCTACCCATAACTTGTTTTTTTAATAGCAAGGTACCCGCCCTTGTGATATATCAAATGAAAAATAAATTTCACCAAACGTTTTCTTTTTTTATGCTCTTTCATTTGATATGTCACATGGGGTACCTTGGTATTAAAAAAAAAAGTTGGTGGCAGGGGGGAAAGGGGGGGAATGTGAATGTAACGTTTAATTCAAAACAATTGGGCCCCGTACGTCAATAGATGATTCCCGCAAACTGCATATTTCTATCTATTGTGGTTTTTACATAAATAAAGATGCAAGTAAAAAAAAAAACACCCTGTATATTTACAGGAATTCATCAACAACAAAATGTGATGATTAAAATAGAGCAAAGACTAAAATTGAACTAGTAGCTCAATTGAAATTGAAATGAATCTAAATGTAAAGGTTGTCTATTAGAGAATGTTCTAGGACCAAGTACTTTCCTTTGGATATTAGAGCCAATCTCATCGGAAACAAGTCAACCGTGTGCCAGAAGAGATTTCCCAACCTCATCGTTCGTACCAATAGACCAGAAAAACATCATAAACACGATAATAGTTACACTTGCCAAACAGTCAACAGATGCAGTGAAGTACAGAAATACATTAGTGAGATAGTAGGATAGTCGAGCACACAATTTATTAACTTATTTACTTATTATTTATTAGTAAGTCGGTGGCTCAGTCGGTAGCGTCGCGGACTTCGGGCCCAAGGCAGCGATGTCGTGGGTTCGGATCCTGGTCACTGCCGATAACATTTTATCAGTACAGTTCACCTTTGTACTGTACCGGCTCACTCCTTGCTTTGCTGTAAACGATCCACGCACGGGCGCTTAGTCTATGTGGACGGGCAAATGCAAGGTTAAAAGAGGCCGCCAACCTCTTTTTTTTAAATAGAATAGAATAGAAAAATAGAAAAACTTTGCAAGAAATAGGACTGCAGAAATTATAAGTTTGTCTTGGAGAACAGGGAGAACTCTACTAAAAGTTCATCGTTTTGATAGACTCAAGTGAAGTCTCTATTATCTATTATCTATTATCGTATGCTAACCATAATCAAGAACTTATGTAGAACTTCTGTTTTCCGATCACGATATTAGTAAGGGAAAACCATAGGGCTGGCATATGCAAGCAGCAGACACGCAAAAGATCAATAGTGTGTACTGGAGTGTACTAGATCAATACTACGATTTTTCATAGTACTTTATACATAATATATTACGATAAAATAGTGAGATAACACTAGTAATACTTACCATGTCAACCTCCGATATAGGTCCCATACTTCGTACCATAATGTCCACCTCGACAATTGCTGGGGGCCCTGAGGACATATGAAAAGCACTTAAAGTGAACCAATAGCTAACTTGTTTACTATGAGGACAGTTGACTTCTTAAAGGGCACTACACTTAATTTTTTTTATGTAGTTTGAGATAGTTTACAATTTTTAAAATTTGACCACCATTTTTCAATATGGCTGACAACATTAAAATGTCTTATAAAATACTCTGTATTGCTGAATAATATGCATTGAGTGTTCATGATTTCTGATTTATGTTCTCTGGTTTCACAGAAAATTCAAACTAAACATATGTTTATGAAAAAGTACTGTAGTTATATATCAAATGTTTTTCATTAACGTAAACTGAACCAACCTAGAAAAAATAATTAAGCTTAAATACTCAAAATTAAAAAGTCAAACTTGTCGAAGAAACCATAAGATGGGAAGGTGCTACTTTCCTTGTATCCAGGAATAGCTGTGGTCGTAACATGTTTACCAGACGAGCAAAGCGGATATTGACTGTCTGTGATTGGCTGTCAGTGGAACGCGTGTCAATCAATCGTATTTACTCTGCCAAGCTCTAGACACCAGTCTTGCTATAATACAACTTGGTGGTTCTGCAGTAATTATTAACAACAACATACAAAACCAAAAAACTAATTTAAACTTTGCCTTTCAAAATCTTACGTGAAAATTTGCTTAGGTTAGATATTATAATGTTTTAGAAAGAATGTCACATTAAATTTTTACACGTACTAAATGGCGGCTAGATTCATGGAGAGCTGAGCTTGGATCATAAATAAAGGGAGATTATATTCACACATCACTCTGATATTTCCTTTCACGGTCAAAATACCGTGACTGCTAACTATAGTCTGTATCATGGAACCTGTCTCCTGATCCTCCATCCATCTGGAAATGGCCAATCAATTAAGGCCGATATAATCCAAGGCAGACGGAGTGGTAGGAGACAGGTTTCATAATACATACTATAAACGAATGCTATCTCACCTTGTACGTAACCCCTCTTGTGTTTTTGAGCATTTCTTTGGAAACATAATTTTAACATTACAGAGTATGTTAGGACATTTATAATATACATTTTCATTTGAAACTACAAAATATGCTGACCCATACTCCTCTTAATTCGCAAATATCTATGTCATTGGGTCATGTGATAAGGTATGACCAGGTTTTATCTCCTTGTATATATTTTAAGAATAATGGGTAGTCCTGAACTTTAATTTTTTATACAGTATAATTATTATTATAATTGTTATATAAGTCTAGCCCCTACAAAAAAATTCAATTTCCCCAAACACCCCTCTTTATTAATTCTACACCCATTTCCCCGGAAATGGTAACATAATAGTATCCATACGACCTCCAAAGAATAACCCCTACAGACCATGGTGGAAGTAAATAAGACTACCCTAAGCTACAACGCCTCTAAATTTCTAATTCTCATAAGGGGTATAGCTTACCCCCAAGACCAGGACGCACACTGTTGTCGTAGCCTCGCAGAAGATTGTCCAGCAGCTCGGATACATTACGGTGGTTGTTTCTTTGTGATCCTAGAGTGTTTCGAGGGGTCCTGAAACAAAGGTCATCACTCATGTTATAAAATTACTTTTCAACTGTTTTTCAGAGTAGAGTAATCAGAATGTCACTGGGTTTTTATACACTCGTGAAGCTTTTTGATAGCTCCTAATTGGGTTGAAACGTTGTTGATAATGTTAAATGATCCTGAATCAGCTATTTTTGCTCTATTAACAAACAAGTTAAGGCATGTCACCCTCTCACCCTCATATTTGATTCATGTTTCGGATAAAAATACTTTTACGCATAGCATTAGTTTCATATAAGAATGTGTGTTATAATAATGAACCCATTTTTGGGGCTTCCCCCTGACCTGGCTGACTATGGTGATAGACCCCTAATTTTATTTAAAAAAGCTCAAAAGTTCATCAAATATTTATCTCCAATAACTTAAAATAAAACTAGTTTCTTCATAGTTTTGCCAAACGACTTATAAAAAATAAACTATTCGCGAACTTTTAACAAAAAAAGTTCGATATTTCGACATAAGCCTTCTTCAGGAACAAAATAGAAAACAAAATATAATATATACATATTTAAAAAAAACTAAAAATTAATCAAACCCGAATTGCAGCCTAATAAAAATACAATAGGAAAGATCCTTCACCGAAAGAGCTATGGAACATGAACCCAAACTCCGAATAAATCCTCAAAAACCAAGCTACGCACATTATGGATAAAAATCATAGTGCCAGCATTATAAAAAAATATATCAGCAACAAAGTTTCCACTATTGGCACCCTTTAGTAATCCCACATTTACAAGGCCCTAATTCAGGAAAGTGATATTGCAAGAAATCATAAATTAAATTATTATGGTTCACACTTTGTAAAAAATCCAGACATCTCAAATTGACGGACGAGTATCTACGACTCATTCAACCTCTTCTCTTACGTTATGGTTACGGTAATAAAGGTTGTCTCTCTCTCACAAAAAATGTATTTATACTGTACACTAAGTCCGAAATAGTAGAGTAAGTCCGAATCCACTTCAACCCTTGAATATAATGGTATTTCTACATATAAAATTGCTTTACAAATATACCAAGGACATAACATAACTTAAAGGGGTTTTGTATTAAATTATTGGATTCCTGCAATGTTGCTGTAACAGGTGTCAAGAATAGTCACGAATAAAGGTCTCTAGAATAATATTGCATAATTTCAAACCTTTATGTGGGTCAGATGTAGCTTATATCCATGATAAAACATTGTAGGGGATGTTTCTCCATTGAAAGAGTCATAACTCTAGAAAAATGGCTTAACTTGCTTAAATTCTGCCTTTACCATTCCTTTGCTAAGTCCATAGACAAATAATAGTTTATAAATCTGTATTTGCAGGTGAGTTATAGCCAATTTCAAAAAGTAACAATGATAAGGATATGGGTCAAACACTCTGTAGAACTAGTTCAGCAAGTTTGATGAAACTCCACGATAATCTGTGGAAGACTAAACTTCACCTCTCAAACTTCAGTGCCGTCTGATGAAGTAATTGTTTTAGTTGAAGTCTCGTTCATTCATTATTATCCAAAAACTCAAATCCAAATCATCTAAGGAGTCATTATTTAAAATTTAAATTGATAATTATTTATAGGTTTGAATGATAAAATACCCCGCCGCGGCAAACCTGCAGACTAAGCGATTGTCCATCTACTTGGCTGAATTCCACAAATTTGTTCCCTTAAACTTGTCAAATTGTTGCTATTAAAATATCATAAATTATATTAGTACTTAGGGTTGTTGCTACAGAAAAGACAAAAAGATGTGCTTTTTAAAATTGAAATATTCATAGCATAGTATAAAGTAAACAAATTTCCCAAATGGCATTAAAATATGTCCATAGACAAGCAAGCTATTAGTACATGTGTATTCATTCTCCATAAAAATAACATGGTCATTTAATATTTACACTTTTTGGAATGTTCTCCATAACCGTTAGGCATAAACAACGCTTCAGTATACTAAATCATTTTTTATATGAGCGCTACACAATGGTTTGAATATAAAGTGCTAAATACTTCGGTTTTAAGGTAAAAAAAAGGAAAATCACATCACCCCATAAAACCCCCTATAATACCCCGTTCCCATAGTCTGATCCTGCTGGTCCGCGAACTCGTTGGAATAAATCTAGGTTTACACGTGTATACCCAAATTTCATCAAAATCGGATCATGATTGCTCGAGTTATCAGTCTGTCGAAGAGAATAATATGGTTCTACATATAAATTAGTAAAAAAATAAATTTTACCTACGACCGTTTTTTAAAGTAGCCATTTCAGTCCAGTTCTTAGAATTGAAAAGTTTCACTTTACAGCTGTTTACTTTCATATCCGCATAGTTTCATTTCATATCCGCATAGTTTTCTCATATCCACACAGGTAACGGACCAATGAGGTTCAAGTATTGAGAGAAAAGAATTAAAATTGTAATGCTTCGAACGTCAACTAATCAGCTGATCAGCTGATCAGTTGACCAATTTAAATTGTTTGTTGATCCGACTTGTTCATGTTGATACTCGCGTATTCTTAATTCTTAATTAAGGTGGTGGAAGTCCAAAAATAAATGAAATATTTGCCGAATTGTACCTGATACAATATTATTTATGGTAAGAATGCTGCTAGCAATGTAATATTAAACAAAGTTTAACAAACACGTAATTACAGGAAATCAGCTGATTATACAACAAGTCGTTGCATCACTTTCAGTTGCAATGACAATACACGAAAACATAACCTCTCTAAAAAGTTATCAGTAGTGATTGTTAGTAATTAAATCTAGATTGATAGTGATTAAAAAACGGTCGTAGGTAAAGTAGTGTACGCAACTCGCGTTAATAGTCTTTACGACACTCGTAGAAGTTTTTTTAAGGCACGAGCCAAATTTTCTACTCGTGTCGTAAAGACTCACTTAACGCAATCGTTGCGTAAACTACTATTAAACAACAAATTTTAGCGACAGTTAGTAATCGTTTGGCGTTCGTTTTTTAATAACATCTCCGTTTTTATGCCTGTATTCTGCACAGTTTTGGTGTTAAATAGTAGTGTGTTCCTTTTTAAAAGCGTATAAATTGCTGCATTTTTTTATTTTTTCTTCTACTTTTGCACATTTGCTTGTATTTTCTGCAGAGACGCTTTGCACAATGCAAAGTTTCTTTAGTCTGGGGTCGGTAAGAAGACTACTTCACCCCTCGGACGAATACTTCTCTAAGGTATAATACCTTTCTGAATAAACTAGTAGTACGCTTATTCTGCGCGTAACGGGATGAGTGAACATGAGCGCAGTAATGAAAGAGTCCACCCACACCTAGCCTACTTACCGGTGTCACTGGTTAACACAATGTTTTTTGTATGGGCAAATCAACCAAATCTTAGTCACCAACAATCCTAACTTCTCATCCATTAATAAACCAAAGTCATTGGTAATATACGTAATGGATTTCCAACAGTAATCGATAGGAGGTAAATCCATCGTTCCTGTACAACATGTCTTTTGATTAAATGAAGCATATTTCCATATTTGTTATGAGGCCTATCATAAACAAAACAAAGCCAAACTGAACTAATCTAACTTAACCTAATTGCCAAATCACGATGTAAGGAATCTCCTAAAAAATATCGTATGGCTTACAATGATGAATTAAAACGATATCGTAATTATACCTTCTAAAATGATTAAAAATCCAATATATGTTTATCTAACTAATGAAGGGTTCTCACACTCCAGACTGCTCGCCTTGACTACTTCCTTCACCACTTCCTATGTCGTGGACCTGTTTCCCTCCCTTCCTTTAGAATTTTTTTTATTGCAGATCCATTAATCTAACTGTCACAACGGGTTCCCACACTCCGGACTGCTCGCCTCAACTACTTCCATCACGACTTCCTACGTCGTAAACATGTTTTCCTCCCTTCCTATGGCATTTTAGTATTGCAGGTACATTAACCTAACTGCCACAAAGGGTCCCGACACTCCGGACTGTTTGCCTCAACTACTTCCATCACCACTTCCTACGTCGTAAACATGTTTCCCTCCCTTCCTATGGCATTTTAGTATTGCAGGTACATTAACCTAACTGCCACAAAGGGTCCCCATACTGCGGACTGCTCACCTTGACTACTTCCTTCACCACTTCCTACGTCGTAAACATGTTTCCCTCCCTTCCAATGGCATTTTAGTATTGCAGGTACATTAACCTAACTGTCACAAAGGGTCCCCACACTCCGGACTGCTCGCCTTGACTACTTCCTTCACCACTTCCCACGTCGTGGACCTGTTTCCCTCCCTTCCTTTAGAATTTTTTTTATTGCAGATCCATTAATCTAACTGTCACAACGGGTTCCCACACTCCGGACTGCTCGCCTTGACTACTTCCTTCAACACTTCCTACGTCGTGGACCTGTTTCCCTCCCTTCCCTTAGCATGTTTTTATTACAGATCCATTAATCTAACTGTCACAACGGGTTCCCACACTCCGGACTGCTCGCCTTGACTACTTCCTTCACCACTTCCTACGTCGTGGACCTGTTTCCCTCCCTTCCTTTAGCATTTTTTTATTGCAGATCCATTAATCTAACTGCCAAAACGGGTTCCCACACTCCGGACTGCTCACCTTGACTACTTCCTTCACCACTTCCTACGTCGTGGACCTGTTTCCCTCCCTTCATTTAGAATTTTTTATTACAGATACATTAATCTAACTGTCACAACGGGATCCCACACTCCTGACTACTCGCCTTGACTACTTCCTTCGCCACTTCCTACTTCGTGGGCCTGTTTCCCTCCCTTCCTTTAGCATTTTATTATTGCAGATACATTAATCTAACTGTCACAAAGGGTTCCCACACTCTGGACTGCTCGCCTTGACTACTTCCTTCACCACTTCCTACGTCGTAGACCTGTTTCCCTCCCTTCCTTTAGCATTTTATTATTGCAGATCCATTAAGCTAACTGTCACAAAGGGTTCCCTCACTCCAGACTGCTCGCCTTGACTACTTCCT